GCCCAGCGTCACCGAGCTCATCACCAAGGCCGTGTCCGCCTCCAAGGAGCGCAAGGGGCTCTCCCTCGCCGCGCTCAAGAAGGCGCTGGCTGCCGCCGGGCCCGACTTTGAGAAGAACAACAGCCGCATCAAGCTGGGGCTCAAGAGCCTCGTCAGCAAAGGCACCCTGGTGCAGACCAGAGGTATAGGTGCGTCTGGCTCTTTCCGCCTCAGCGAAAAGCCTGGAGAAGTGAAGGAAAAAGCTCCCAAGAAGAAAACAACCGCAGCCAAGCCCAAGAAGCCGGCGGCTAAGAAGCCTGTCGGCGCCACCAAGAAGCCCAAGAAGGTGATGACAGTGAAAAAGAGCCCCAAGAAAGCCAAGAAGCCGGCGGCCAGCGCGGCCAAGAAAGCAGCCAAGAGCCCCAAAAAGGCGACGAAGGCTGCCAAGCCCAAAAACGTGGGGGCAGCAGTGAAGAGCCCTGCCAAGGCAAAGGCAGTGAAGCCAAAGGCAGCAAAGCCGAAGGTGGCGAAGCCAAAAGCAGCGAAGAAGGCAGCCCCCAAGAAGTAAGTCCCCTGTGGAAGAAAAGGTCTTTCTCCACACTTTAACCCAACGGCTCTTTTCAGAGCCACCCACGCTTTCTTAGAAGGGCTGAAATGCTTTTGTGCAAGAGGCAGCAGGGAGATGTTTTGGGGAATGGTGGTGTGCTGGTGCAAATGCCATTTCATTTCGGTAACGGCCAGACGGAGCAGCAAGATTCAGAGTCGCTCAAATTTCCCCTGCATAGAAGGGGGAGGGAAGCACTGCGTTGGTGGCTTTATGCCGATACGGCATACGGATTGGGTACGGCCTCGGGAAGGCTGATCTGCTTCCTAAGAGCGCTGACAGCCCCGCCCCGGAGCCGGAGTGGTTTGAGCACGGGGCCGCGGCTCGTACTAACTGGAGGTGTGTGATTATATCAAACAGTTTTAAAATGCACCGCGGGTTTTTGAGACTTCAGTGAAATTCAGGCTCTTTTTCTGACTTTGTAGGTGGCTCTGAAAAGAGCCTTTGGGTTTCTGTAGCTCAAATTTTCCTGGGCGTTGCTCTTCGGCGCTTACTTGGCTTTGGCCTTGTGGCTGTCGGTCTTCTTGGGCAGCAGCACGGCCTGGATGTTGGGCAGCACGCCGCCCTGCGCGATCGTCACCTTGC